CATCATCACCACCATCATTACATCATCACCACCATCGCCATGACATCATCATCATCACCACCATCATTACATCATCACCACCATCGCCATGACATCATCATCATCACCACCATCATTACATCATCACCACCATCGCCATGACATCATCATCATCACCACCATCATTACATCATCACCACCATCGCCATGACATCATCATCATCACCACCATCATTACATCATCACCACCATCGCCATGACATCATCATCATCACCACCATCATTACATCATCACCACCATCGCCATGACATCGTCGTCACCGTCACATCATCATCACATCACCACCACCATCATCGTTATCATCATCATCATCAACACCGTCGTCCCCGCATCCATGCACATATGTGTGTGTCATGGATTCCAGAACCTTCTTCCCAGCACATGCCATTGGTCCGCGAGCCCACAGGCTGCACACTGTGTGTGGGTTTGTGGACACAGACCAGCCGGCAGCTGTGCAGACATAGATGGCGGTGCTCCTCACAACCAGGGTGGCTCAGCTCTGAGGGGAGTGCTCGTGCTTGGTGGTTACAGGGAGTGCTTGTGCGGGGGGAATAGTGTTTGTGCTTGGTTGGGTACGGGGTGGGGAGTGCTTGTGCTTGGTGTGGTCCAGCCCAGGAGGACGGCCCCACAGTGACCCCCGCCGGCCGTGGGCAGTGACCACAGGTCCAGCCCAGAAACAGGAAGCAGAGGCTGTGACAGCAGATCACTAACAGCCCTGGACGCCATCCGCCAGCCCAGCGTGCACACGGCACCACAGAACCTGTGCACACGGCACCACAGCATGAAGAGCTAGTCCTAGGTCATTATGGGATGGAGACGCGGTCCTGGTCATTATGGGGTGGAGACAGGGTCCCGGTCATTATGGGATGGACACATGGTCCTGGTCATTATGGGATGGACACATGGTCCTGGTCATTATGGGATGGACACATGGTCCTGGGTTATTATGGGATGGAGGCATGGTCCTGGTCATTATGGGATGGACACATGGTCCTGGTCATTATGGGGATGGAGGCATGGTCCTGGGTTATTATGGGGTGGAGACAGGGTCCTGGTCACATGGACGATCATATTTTCCTAAGACTCTGGGTCCTGGTTGTTATGGGATGGACACATGGTCCCGGTCATTATGGGATGGACACATGGTCCTGGGTTATTATGGGATGGAGGCATGGTCCTGGGTTATTATGGGGTGGAGACAGGGTCCTGGTCACATGGACGATCATATTTTCCTAAGACTCTGACTGTTATGGGATGGAGGCATGGTCCTGGGTTATTATGGGATGGAGGCATGGTCCTGGTTGTTATGGGATGGACACATAGTCCCGGTCATTATGGGATGGACACATGGTCCTGGTCATTATGGGATGGACACATGGTCCTGGGCTATTATGGGATGGAGGCATGGTCCTGGTCGTTATGGGATGGACACATGGTTCTCGGTTATTATGGGGTGGAGACAGGGTCCTGGTCATTATGGGATGGACACATGGTCCTGGGTTATTATGGGGTGGAGGCATGGACCTGGTTGTTATGGG